TCTGAAGGATTGGACCAATGCGCAGCGTTGCGAGTTGAACCGAATGACTTTATTCACAAAAAACCACGAAAAAACAACAAAAGAAGTACGTGAAGTTCATACTGAAACACACTAACAACAACACAGAAACAAGAAAACAAATAACCCACAAACAAAGGAGAAAACACACAGAAATATATATGGCTCCCAATCAGAGATAGCGAGCCGACAGCTGAACCCCCAAACTCGTTACCTCCGATTGGGATCACAGACCAATCACCATAGACACAAACAAAATGAATCACCATCCCAAACACCCCCAAATGAAATACACCCCCACAAACACATGAAAATGAACAACCCTGGCTCAATTATCAAAGTCCATAGAGCAGAGTGTCACCAGTACCCCCCATAAAGGTGCGAACTCCGGGCGCACCCACATCACGGGACTAGGGGAGGGTCTGGGTGGGCGTCATGTCCATGGTGGCGGCTATGGCCCCGGTCGTGACCCAACCCCACCACAGTCAAAACCTGCTCGGTAGCCTCCTCCATGGACCACCCTCCAAACTAACCCCACTCGGACTAAGGGGCACCCCCGGACTAAGGGCCGCATCGGCCCTCAGGCAGCCCGGGATAGGGGCAGCACCGGGGATAAGGGGCAGACCTGGGCTAGGGACAGCACCGGGGACTAAGGGGCGGGCTGCACCGGACGGGGGCAGTACCGGACAAAGGGAGTACAGGACTAGGGACGGGCACCCGGGATAAGGGCGGCAACGGACTCAGGGCAGCACCGGACTAAGGGGCAGCACGGGCTAAAGGGCAGCACGACTAAGGGGCAGAACCGGGTAAGGGGATCACCTGGACTAGATGGCGGATCATGGCTGCGGGCTCGGCGATCCTGGGGGGGGGCGGGCCGGACTCTGGCGGGGGATCCTGGCGGGACGGCCTATGGCGGATCAAGGCGGACGGCTCTGGAGGATCGCGGACGGCTATGGGGATCTGGCTGGAAGGCTTTCTGGCGCGATCCTGGCTGACGGGCTCTGGCGGATCCTGGCCTGTGACGGCTCTGGCGGATCATGGCGGGAAGGGCTCTGGCGGATTTCTGGCGGGAAGGCTATGGCGGATCCTGGCGGGAGGCCTATGGCGGATCCGCGGTGGACGGCTCTGGCGGATCCTGGCTGGACGGCTCTGGCGGATCCTGGCTAGACGGCTTGGCGGATCCTGGATGGACGGCTCTGGCGGGATCCAGGCTGGACGGCTCTGGGGACCCTGGCTGGACGGCTATGGCGGACCCTGGTGGACGGCTCTGGCGGATCCTGGATGGACGGCTATGCGGATCCTGGCTAGACGGCTCTGGCGGATCCGGCTGGACGGCTCTGGCGGATACTGGATGGACGGCTCCTGGCGGGCGATCCTGGTAGAAGGCTCGGGCGGGATCTGGTGGACGCTCTGGCGGATCCTGGCCTGGACGGCTCTGGCGGATCTGGTGGAGGACGGATCTGGCTGCTTCATGGCTGGCGGACGGATCTGGGCTCATGGATGGCTAACGGATCTGGCGGCTCATGCTGGCTGCGGACTGGCTGCTCAGGCTGCTGAAGGATCGGCTGCTCATGGCTGGCTGACGGATCTGGGCTCAGGCTGGGCTGACGGATCTGGCTGCTCATGGCTGGGCTGACGGATCTGGTGACTCATGGCTGGATGAGGTCTGGCTGCTAATGGAGGCTGACGGGATCTGGCTGCTCATGGGGCTGCAGGATATGGGCTGCTCATGGCGGACGACGGATCTGGCTTGCTCATGGCGGCGACGGATCGGGCTGCCTCAGGGCTGGCTGACGGGTCTGGCTGCTCATGGATGGCTGACGGGTCTGGCTTGCTCAGGCTGGCTGACGGGTATGGCTGATAATGGCTGGCTGACGGATCTGCCTGCTCATGAACTGGCTGCGGAATCTGCCTGCTCATGGCTGGCGGACGGATATGGCTGCTCATGGCTGTGCTGAAGGATCTGGCTGCTCATGGCTGGATGACGGGTCTGGCCTCATGGCTGGTGACGGGTCTGGCTGACTCATGGGCTGGCGACGGATCTGGCTGCTCATGGCTGGCTGACGGATCTGGCTGTCATGGCTGGCTGAGGATCTGGCTCTGCTCATGGCTGGCTGACGGATCTGGCTGCTCATGGCTGGAGGACGGATCCGCTGTCATGGCTGGATGACGGGGCTGGCTGCTCATGGCTGGCTGACGGGTCTGGCTGACTCATGGCTGGCTGACGGGATCTGGAGCTGCTCAGGCTGGCTGCCGGATATTTCTGGCTGCTCTGGTGGCTGACGGATCTGGCTGCTCATGGCTGGCTGACGGATCTGGCTGCTATGGCTGTCTGACGGGTCTGGTGCTCATGGATGGGCTGACGGATCTGGCTGCTCATGGCTGGCTGACGGATCTGGCTGCTCATAGCTGGCTGATGGTGCTGGCTGGGGAGACTGGCGGTGGAGGCGGACCCCCAGCCTCGGATGCAGTCAACATCTCCAGCAGGGCGGCTCCCATCTGCAGGAGCTGCTCTTCCTGGTCCGAACCCGAGCTTCCAGTCTAGTATGGGCTGCGTCGGCTCCTGCTGATTCCATAGCAGATGTATGATTCTGTCTGGCGGAAGGCTCTAGCGGCTCCTGTCTGGCGGAAGGCTCTGAAGGCTCATGGCAGACGGACGGCTTTGCAGGCTCAGTACAGACGGGCGGCTTATGCAGCGCTTGGCAAACCGGGCAGTTCAGACGCCATAGGGCCGACGGGCAGTTCAGGCGCCGTTGGGCAGACGGCAGACTCTGGCCGACTGGTAACGCACCCCGTAGGATCGTGCGTGGAGCAGGAACAGGCCGGGCTGGGCTGGCGACGCGCACCTTATCCCTGGTGCGAGTGGCCGGAACAGGCCGGGCCGGGCTGGCGACGCACATCGTGGACCTGGTGCGTGGAGTAGGGAACAGACCGGTCCGTACCGGGAACACCCACCACTGGCCTTAACTGGGGATCAAGAACGGACCGGACCAGACTGGGAACACACTTCAGTCTCTCATGCCGTGCCACAACAACTTCCCCTCCTCTACTCGCCAATGGCTCCCGTAATCCGATAGCCTTTTCTCCAGCTCTACCTGTGGCAAGCCTCCTGCTGCCCAGCTGCCCAAGCCATGTGCCCCCCCCAAAAAAAATTTCTTGGGGTTGCCTCTCTTCCACGGGCTTCCAGCCTCGCCTTCGCGCTGCCTCCTCGTACCACCTCCTCTCGGCTTTGGCTGCCTCCAGCTCTTCACGAGGGAGGCGATATTCTCCCGGTTGTGCCCAAGGATCCTTTCCGTCCAATAACTCTTCCATGTCCAGACCTTAGGAGGCGTCCATAACTCCTGTGTAGGTAGGTCCTGTTGCCGCTTGTTACGCTGCTTGGTCCTTTTGTGGTGGGTTATTCTGTCACGATCGTCTGAAGGATTGGACCAATGCGCAGCGTTGCGAGTGAACATGATGACTTTATTCATCCAAAGAAACCACGAAAAACAACAAAAGAAGATACGTGAAGTTCTATACTGAAACACACTAACAACAACACAGAAACAATAACCCACAAAACAAAGGAGAAAACACACAGAATATATATGGCTCCCAATCAGAGATAACGAGCCGACAGCTGACACTCGTTACCTCCGATTGGGAGTCACAGACCAATCACCATAGACACCAAACAAAATGAAACTCACCCATCCCCAACACCACCAATGAAATACACCCCAAAACACATGAAAATGAACAACCCTGGCTCAATTCTCAAAGTCCATAGAGCCAGAGTGTCACAGGTATTCACAGAGCAACCCTGTTGTATTCACAGAGCAACCCTGTGGTATTCACAGAGCAACCCTGTGGTATTCACAGAGCAACCCTGTTGTATTCACAGAGCAACCCTGTTGTATTCACAGAGCAACCCTGTTGTATTCACAGAGCAACCCTGTGGTATTCACAGAGCAACCCTGTTGTTACAGAATGAAGTGTTCCATACCTGCATGATTAAGAATGATTATGTCAGGGCGACGTGTATGCGGGTGAGCGAAGTCAAGCGCAGGACAGACTACTGGCAGCGTACTTATCGTAGCCCCAGG